GTAGGCTGCAGGCAGACAGGAGATGTTGCTGAACTGTAATCCTATTCTGTGTCTTTCAGAATAAAAGCTGTTCCTGGGGGGTTTGTCTGAGTGGGTATGCTTTGAGGTATACAAACACTAACACAAAATGCAGAGCATACAAAAGAGCCTCAGAGGCCTAGTCTCCCTTAGTTGTATAAAAGTCACCAGGTTTTCCCTATGTTAAATAATCTAATACTGAACTAGTGAACCGGAAGGACTACACATGCGTGTAGGACAGACTTCTAATAAAATTCTTCCCTCAGCAGCGTTGGGACAGACACACCTACAGTAGAGCACCAATAGGGTCACTTATTGAAGAAGAATCAACAAGTTGCTCTGCAAGAGGTAAAGGTGGGGATATTCAATGCATTATAGATGAGGGACATGACCCTTGATAACAGATTTACTTTTAAAACATTTCCATATACTTCCCACACTAACTATCTCCCAGTTCAGTTTACAATGCATAATGACATGAGATTCCTAACCAGAAATAAAGCAACAGATTCGTACAGATTAGGACAGATAAAACATATGAAGGTAAGCCCACTAAAAAAAGCTGGATGCTGACTAAACGGCAAATACAAATAAAAGAAAAAAAATCTGTTAATCAGTAAATTCAGCTTTGTGTTTGTTATCACTGATCCACCCCTGCAGAGCATGTGACATGCCATTTGCTTTACTTCAGGTCGATGAATATGAGAGACCTAGAAAACAAGAGCATGTCAATGCATATCCATTTTTCCTTCTCAATGCTCTCTCTTGATCTCTCTTTCTTCTAAAGAAAGAGAGTGTTGGCAACAGTGTTGATCCTTAATGCAACAATATACAATTCAACTCCAGAAAAATCAAATTAGGATAATTTCTTTAGAAATCAAATGTCTAAGCCTTTTCTTTGTATTAAGCAGATGAGGTTACCAGATAAAACTTGTGTGTTTGTATGACAGAGAATCAAACCAGGTTTGATATTTAGTAATGCCACCCCATTCCTCACTGTCACAGATTTGCAAATAGAAAAGGTACTTACTGAGCACACTAAGAAGAAAAGGGACGAATTAACTTGTAATCATCATTAGAAATAAGATACTACACTTGCTGTTCATATAGTAGGGTGGTATGAATGACAAGGGCAAATAAGGTGGTATCTGAGAAGGGAAAAAAGCCCTTGATACTTACTATTTTGCATGGACTCAGCTTAGATACACAACTGGCGGTTTGTGCAGTAATTTGTTATTTTTTAAGTTTGTGATTCAATGTGTAACGGTTATTCAGAAAATCCAAGTGTCATATAATATTTTATTCTGGCAGAATATGCATGTACTAGATTTTGGTTTTGTTGTGAGGACTAATGAAACAAATAAAAATTACAGTTTGTGAAAATCTGAGAAGTGTTTTTGTTAACTTTCTTTTAATTGAATAATTTGAAAAAGTAAGACCTAAAGAATTAACTTGAGCCCTTAATTACTGAGAAGTAGATGTGCTACATATAAAGAAAAAAAATCCAAAATTATTCAAAATAAGTTGGCAAAAGTAGTATAAAGAAAGGAATTGTGTGCATAAAAAGATCTCAATAAATGTAATTACCAAAGGTGTGACAAATAAGTGTCCTAACCGCTACCCACTAACTCAGAAGAGCAGCTCTAAATACTTCAATAAGATTATTCACAAAGGTGGGGATTACTCATCTGAGTGTAGTTGCCAACAATACCATCTTTCTTTGGAAATAAAGCCTTCGCAGAAATAGAAGTCTTGGAGTTCACCAAGCAGTGTAAATAACCTCTCAACTGGGAGCACTTAAAAATTAATACAGGTGTCAGATGGCTTTCCCAGGTGACCAAGACAAAACAGAAATACACCAAAACCCTCTTTATTCCACCCCACTTCTATGTATTAAGATGACACATTAATTCATAGTGATGTTTCTTCATGGCAGTGGAACATCCCTAAAGCACAAAGAAATCAGAGAGGAGAGGATCCAAAAGGTTCAGAGTCTGGGTTTGCTTCTAAAGTTCAAAGCTCATTCAAACCTATCAATGTCTCCTGTCAGGGACTTTGACCCTCTTCCATGGCCAACTCTGGCACCCGCGGCCTGTAATAGTTTTCTGGGTACAAGAAAGAGCCTGGCTGCCTGCTACATCCAAATCAAGCCACTGTGGGTGGCTGACAGTTGCAGCAAATACGTTTTTCCCACAGTCCTTGTGGAACATCTCATTCTTCTCCCCGTTCCTTCTTCCCCAGGGAACCCAAAATCCTATACTTTCTAATGCCCAGGGCTATCTCCCCACATCCTGCTGCCCTAAGATCTTGCTGGAATAGTGGCAGTCTCACTGCCTTCTCCTTCCTTCCACTCACCCTGGGAGCCTTACTGCTGTCTTGGTGTTCCAATCATGCCTACCCAGGTGGATGTAAACCTTACCCTGGGGGTCCTCTCTAAGTCCATGTGAAATAAACCTTTCCACCTGATATACGATGTTTCTCGCTGCCCTGGAAGTGATCTTTCCTTCCACACATACGGAGTATTTACCTACCAGTCATTCCTCCTTTTACTCACTCATATATCTACAAGTGAAGGGCACCACTGCTCAGGATTAGTGGATGGGTGCTGTTCCCTTCTCCTTGCTTTTCTCCCCACAAGTCTAAAGCAGGAGCACAGACACTGTAGGGAGCAGAGCAGCAAGCTGCAACACAGGAAGAGTAGAAAGTATGTCTCCATAACCAGGAGCTGACACTACAATGAAAACACTACCTAGTGCCAGCTGCCCAAACAGGATAGAGGGATGTTACCTCAAATCCCACACACAGAGCAGAAAACTAAGAACATTCCAACTACTTTGCTTTAATTGTATTTGCCAGACATATGCAATGACACAGTTTGGAACAAGGCAGTTGCATCTCCAATTATCTGAATTGACAGATAAGAAATCTCAATATTAAAACTGTCCAAACAGCTTTAGTATCTATGAAAATCTCTTAAGTGAGAAGTCTTCCATGTTGCAAGAGCTTCGGTATCAGTCTTCCAGAGCTACGTGATGACAGAGACTCCAAAGTGGATACATTTGCACATTTTTATTATTAAGGAAACAAATGAAATAAGGTTTGAAACTACAATTCTATAAAATTGGTAATGGAGAGGAGATACAGAGAAATACTTATAAAGGGCCTCCTTAACTGGGATTTTCAGCACTAAAATATAAATCTATTTAATGTAACTCAACTCAGAATGTGATTAATGTACCAAGTGTTTACATAAGCAGTTTCAATTGTTTGCAACATCTTACCTACCAGAAACTAATACTCCAAGCAATCTGCTTCACTGAAAAGATTAATGTAGATGGTATGTAAGAAAATGCATTTTAACAGACACATTATCAAGATCTGCAGTACTAACCTACACTAATTCTCTCCCATCTTCTTGATTTAATGCTCTCTTGTGCCCAGCTTCCCATCACTACATTAGATCAATTGAATTCCTTTCCACCTTGGTCACTATGGTCATTTCCAAAGAAGCCATGCTTCAGTGCACTTCAAATATTTTCATGAAAATCAAGAGTAAGTAGATGCTGAACAGCTAATGATGCACAGAGGTTGGAGTGGAAGCTTGTTTGCTGTTTAAATTCCTCCAAATGCTAGCTTGAGACGCTTAAGGAGGCTTTTTATGCGTTGTGTGTCCCTCTTTTCAATATCTATGTTTCTTGAGTAATAAAGTATAATCTCATTATCATTTCAGGTAAATTGATGGAAAATGTTAGCATTTTGCACCCATAATTCTCTAACCCGTTTTGTTCTTTTTAAAGTTAAAACATCCAACGCTTTTTTTCTCTTCAAAATGGCTTCTAATGTTGTGTTCACAATCAAGCACAGGTGCAAGTGACAGAAATTAGACATTTAACTATCAGATTTGACTTGCAGATCAAGTAGACATCTAAATGCTATAATTTGCACACATAGTCAATTGCAGAACCAGATTAAGGCTCCTTTAAAAATTTGGCTCTAGACATTTATACTTACTGTATACCTCACTGTAGATCTTTTTATAGCATTTTTATTTTTAAATAGATGGAAAAATACCACAAGACAAAGGAATGCATGTATGTGCGTGTGTGTGCATGTTGTGTGTGTCTTTGTTAGAGGACATAGCCCTAACTCTGCAGCATTTCTGCTGATTTATATCAGATTTAATCTAGTAATATAGCATTTGAAATCAGGTGCAGAGATTAACTACCTATCTGAGAAAGAAAAACATATATAAAATATCAGATTTCAGATGTTCTATCCCTTTTCGATTTGTGTAGTACAGTCACAATGGTAAACCAATATGTAACATCTTATCTAGGTAATTAATTTCTATTAGAAACTTAAAGTTAGACAACATGAAACAACTTCTTCACTATCACAGTTAGGGGAGAGAAAAGATAACAGACAACTGTACAAAACAAAAAACAGCTTTCATCGCTTTTGTTTTTTAAAAACCACGCATTGAAACAAGATTCATGGTGATTTCTTTAGTTACCAATAAAGCTCATGCAGAGATAGTGAATTCTAAATTAAAGTATGAAGGAGAAAAATAGATACTGTTAGATCTGACTGCTTCAGCTTTCATGAAGTAACCCTGTGAATATAACACTTGCTATTTTTGCATTGTATTACTCAAGTAGTTCTGAAATTGAAAATGTTTATTTGCTACAATAGAAAGATATAACTGGATAGCTGGCTTATATCCTTATAATGCTCAGTGTTATCATACAGAGATTCCAGAACAACATCAGGATTTAAGAGGAGATTGGTGAAAATCAGGCACATTGTAAAAGTGGCCCATTCAGATTCAAGGAAAATGTTTAACAGCATTTCATATCCACTGCATGAAGAAGATATAAAGGTTGAAACTAAGTGAAAATAATAACTAACATTGTGGCTCTGGAATGAAAATACACTGCTCATACATCAGACGCAACTTTACTCACAGAAAAACAAAAACGTACCTTTCTGTCATGACTACTGGGCATCCCAGGAGTATTTTGCTTGAGGAAGCCTGCTGTTGTGGACCATCTTGAGGGGTTTTTTCGGGAAGGTTCTTCTGAAGAAAAATTAGTATCGCTTACAGAAGTTGAAAGGCCAATCAATGCGGGGTCACTGCTACGCCGTACATGAAGTGGCATATCTGGAGGAACAAAATCAACTATAAATTAACATCAGGTAGACTGAATATGCTTCCCCCCACACAACATATTTTAAAACTCTGGGTAACTGGCTGTGACCAAAAGAAGTTTGCACACAGGCCAGCTTCTGACCTCAGGCAACTGCTTCACAGACAATGGGTTATTTAATGAAGACCAACATCAATTACCAATTGCCTAGCAGGTTCTGAAGAGAAAATGAGGACTCAGTGGTGAACTATTTGAAGCTACTTTTTAGGTTCATATGCACAATTACAATATCTTAAGCGCCTTTTACTTAAGATTTTTTTAATTGAGCAACCTGAAGCCCCAAAGAGATTACTGTAGCCATTAAAAAAATCTGAGAGACACCAACTAGCCAGGAACTAAGCCAAATTTCTGGACGCCATGACAAAATATAGGAAGGGAGTGCCTTGTTTGGGAGAAATTCCCTGTTGAAAAGCCTAATCCCCTTCTATGGTCTGCTAAAAAGGTGGTGGGAGCTCAGGTCCATACCAGATACTGACTCTAGACTGTGCTTGGGAGCGCACCAGCTAATAAAGGCCTAATATGTTTGAAGCCCCCCAACCCACTCACTCTCCCCACTGAAAAGGATCACACACACACACACACACACACACACACACACACACACACCCACACACACACTCCTGCTCTCCTCTCACTTCAAACCCTGTTTTGATTTTCTGTCTTTGTTACTCTATCACTCACAGAACCTCCTGGCTGCTGCAACAGGGATGTGTGTTTATTACTGTACCCTATTCCCCAGTCCTAAGGATGCAGTGGGTGGGGAGAAATATTTCATTAGCAATAACTGAATACAGCAGGTAGGCAGAAATGTAGGACAGAAATCTCTGATGCTATACATGCTAGGCAGCCAACTTCCATTCCTGAGCCCCTCATACTAGGTCCCTCCTGAAATATTATTACTTTTTTCCCAGTTCCACTTGCAGTATAAGGAGCCCAAAGTATAAGCTCATGACCCTCTCTACTGATTCTCCTTTTTTCCTCCTCTCCCAACAGTCCTCACTGCCTGCCTTTCCATGCTTTCCCATTCAACAACAGAGTGAAACTGACAATTTTTGTCACCTATAGTGTTGATGTAGACCAGTCCTCAAAGAAATAAGCTTTTGAGCTACAAGGAGCTATTCTGGGGTCTGAGAAACATGCTCAGACTACATCTACATTTATAAGCTTAGAGCAGCACAACTGTACCAAGATAACAGTGCTGTTGTAGGAGCTCTCAGATAGCTGCTGCCTTATGCTGATGGGAGGGTGCAATGTTCTCTCACTGACATAACACTGCGCACTATAAGGTTTATACTGGTAAAACTCATGTGATCAGGATGGGGTGGGTTTTTTTCAGATGGACTTAGGCTTTGTCTTCACAACACAGCTTTTAGCGCTATAGTCCTGTCACTAACAGTTGAGCAGTGTAAATGCTGCTTGTCCGCACTTTTGCTGATAAAAAACATCCACTCCCCATAAACGATATTTGCTTTGTCAGCATGAAAGCACTCCTACCCACAAAGCACTATTTACACTAGCATCTGCATTTGCCACTGCAACGCTTTTGTTGCATGGGGGGGGAGGGTGAAAGGCGGAGAGGGTGGAAGCACCTGTGAAGAACAAAAGTTTTGTCACTCAATTGCCTGTGCAGACCAAGCCTTTGGCTAAGTCTACACTGCCATTATACCAGGCTGCAATGTTCATAAAGCTCAAAAGCTTGTCTCTCTCACCAAAGTTCATCCACCATCAGATACAGCCTCACCCACCTGGTCTCACTACTGATTTCTGTCCATTTCTTTCTGTTCTCAATATTTTGAGTAACGCAAATAGAAACTGGAAAAAAAAATCCAGGAACACACTGAGCTCTCAGCACCATATTCAGTGGAGCAGCCCAAAGAGAGCTCTACACTGATTTATAACTGGTTAATTCTCAGAAACATTATCTTCGGAACTGTAGGGCTAGAACCATAACCATCTTTTCCTTCGGAAAAATTACATTCTACAGAAATGGATGGCACATGTCCCACACACATTTAGCAGAAAAAAATTCAATAGCAGGAATTCAACAAATGGATTTTCCAGGTTCTGCTATCTTAATGTTTACACTAGCACACAGAGGCCCTATAACAGGGTGGGCAAGAGGCGGCGAACAAGCCAGATCTGACCTTTCAAGCCTCAGGATCCAGCCCACATTTACCTCTTCAGCACTCTTATTACAGAGCAGCTGCAGCCACTTTAAACAACAGGATGCTAATTGCTATGTAGTCTGGGCAGAGAGGAGAAAGCTTTGTGCACCGTCCCTCCTCCTCCACCCCAGCAAAATCCCTCAGCTCCCACTGGCCAGTTTCCAGCCAACAGGAGATGAGAAATTTTGCTGAAGGCAGAGGCAGCGAATGAAGCTTCCTCACTCCCCATGCTGAAGCAGAGCCACATAAAGCAGCCACCCAGCATACAGGCAAGGAGCCGGTCTCAGATTTCTGCAAAGCTGCTGGCTAGGAGCTGCGTAGGTAAGTGCCTCCCAGCCAGAGTCCACCTCCTCTTTCCTCCTACCTACCTGTCTCAGGCTACCACCCAAATCCTCTGTATCCCTTCTCCCTACCTGCTCCGGGTCATAACTCCCTCCCAGAACCAGCACCCTCCTCCCAAACCCTTCCCCCAGGCCAGACTCCTTTCCTGCACACATACCCCTCCCTGATTCTGCACCCCAAGCTCCTACTCCAAATCCCCTCCTTCACCCAAACTCCCTCTCAGACCCCACACTCCCTCCTGCACCCCAGTTCTCTATCCCAAGCTCCCTTCTGCACCCCACTTGCCATACCATACCCTGTGTCCCCTCCATAGATCTTGAGGTGTGTCTAGACTACAGGGTTTTATCAACAAAAGTGGACTTTTGTCGACAAAACTATACCTGCGTCTACACTACCGCCGAGTTCTGTCGACATAACGTCGACAGAACGCAGCAGCTCATTCTACGAGGAATAACGCCTTTTGTAAAGAGTTCTGTCGACAGAAGGCATTATTGCATCTACACTGTTCTTTGCGTCTACACTTTGTCGACAGAACTGGATGCAGTCTAGGCGCTCTTTGTCGACAGTATCTGTCAACAAAGTCTCTGTCGACAAAAGCCTGAAGTCTAGACATACCCTTGAAGTGCCCCCCTCCTTAAAAATTATTGCCCATCTCTATCCTATAAACATCACTGAGATTCTCTGTTGTGGGTAGTGCTATAGAATCACACAGACAGACAGACAGACACAGTTTCTGCCCTCCAGAATTTATAGTACAAGAATATTAGCGTGATGAATATTGGTTAGCAATATGATTTCCTGTCTTTAAAAAGCATTCACTGTGAATAGTATCCAACAGCAATTATCATGCTTTATAATGAGCATAGAAAAAAGGAAAAATCAATCAATATTTTTCACTACCATTATACTGATTTCCTATTTCAAAGCCTTACATTATACTCCAAGATTTTCACAACAGTTTTGCTTCAGCACAGATATGAATGTTTTCTGCTAATGATGTACAATATTTAATACAATCAAAACAGAAGTTAAGTAATTAGAGGCACATTTCAGGAAGGATCAATTAAATCCTACAAAACAGCATGTACACACTGAAGTTACCTTATTATTTTAAGTAATTTCTGAATATTAAATGTGCATATACTCATACAGCACACTGTCTCAAACACAGTGTGTTGGTTTTTTTTCAAGTTGCAAGGGCTCTGAAAACTTAAGTCATTGATAAGCAGTTGAAGTAAAGCATCACATTTCCTCTCCATGGTAAGCCTAACAAAAGAAACACTACGGAATCCCAAGAGATCTGAGTAACAAAGGTGACACAGATGTAGTCACAGGCAACAGCACCACAAAGTGTAATCAAGTGACCACATTAACAGAGGTATCTTAGCTCTTGACTTAGCTCTGAACATCGTCTCTCATTTATTACATTAGCCTGGACAGGCAAGTGGTTCTGTGGTAAGAGTTGTGCCACTTAAGAAAAATGCCCATCTATATTTCAGTTCCAAACAGCTGTCACCAGAATGTATTTCTCCAGTCTGCTAACCAGCAGTACACTTAACCCTACTACATGCACCAATAAGTTACAGCCATGCAGCTACTTTGTTCACTTGCATTAAGACATATTTAGGATTACAAATCCAAAGGATACCTGCTAGCATGCTTTGCGCCTCTTTTCATTTTCTCCTGTAAATTAACTGATAAGATGATTTTTCAATGAACTGTAGACTACTTTTCCAAAGATGATAATTAACACTTCATTTCCTGTCTTTCTTCAGCAAAAATGTGATCACTTGCACTTTGCTAAATAGTGGCAACTTTTCAAAAAGAAAAGCTGTCATCAAACAAGGAATCCCAAATTATACATATCTCAGAAAAAAAATGTATTAACAGTATGTAACACACAACATACTCACTGACAAGCTTGCCTAAGGAGGTTTTTTCAGTCATTTCCTAGACACTTTCCTAAAGGGCTTGGGAGATTAGAGGAGAGGGGAAAGA